AATGTGGCTGAATTTTCTTTGTTCTTGCTGCGGTTTATTACGGTATGATGATATGTGCCACCTTGGCCAATTTCGTATGCCATGCCAAGTCAGAAACGGGATTACTGACTGACTGACTGACTTACTTACTGACTTACTAACCGACTGACTGACTGACGGATGGGTGGGGGTCACGGATTCGGAACGTTGTTATGGTTAAATTACACGGTACAAGTATCATACTCGTAGCGTTTGTTCGTTCGTTCGTTCGATAGCCGGCGGATGGATCATTTCCCGGGCTTCGTTACGTAAGGCTTTTGCCCGTCTGCTTTGTCTGCTTGCCGGCGGCGGGCGGGGGGGGGGGGAAGTCAAGGGATGGGATGGTCGTGGTGTAAGGTATGATATGAATATCATGATTACCGGTAGTGCTCTGGATTAAATTGAGGGCGGTAAGGAAGGAAGGATTGAGTACTGTACTGTACTGCACTGTACTGCGCCGGTCTCGTAGAAATACAAGGGTAGATGATGAGGATGAATTCATGGTACTGTACTGTATACAGCGCTTTGTGAGATGTGTTACATACCTTACCCGGAAAAAAAAAAAAAAAAAAATGCAAAGAATTAGAAAAATTCAGACATATCATGGCCGCGGTTATCCATTGCTGTTTTTCTCCTTTGGGTCTTTCCCTTCCCACCACTCCGTTCCGAAGTATAGTATAGTACTACTACTTACTACTCGAATACAATACAAGAACCCGGGTTACCTGTCCGTCCGTCCGTCCACCCCTGCTCCGCACAAGTACCATACCATACCATACCATACCTACAAGTACCGGTATACGGTAGTAAGGCACTTGCAACCCATCACGTGGCAGCTTGTTTGCATTTGTTTCGCTCGTGTTCGTGTGCCGGTGGTATTTTTACGTCTTTTCGTTCCAAATTCGCTCGTTCGTTCGTTCGGCATCTTCGCGGTATTTTGAAAAAGTATTTGTTATTGTATGGTGCCGTTGGTATTTTCAGGTATTTTCAGGGCTTTATGTTGCGTCCGGGTTTATATATAATATCTGGAATCCGGTACTTGGGGAGTGAGTGCGATGGGTTTTGATTTTGGTGTTGTCGTGTCGGTACGCTGTTCAGGTAAATGTCCGTGCTTGGAAATTGTACTGGTATGTACCGTAACGGCGTCCTGTCTAATTCCCTTCGCTCCTTATCTAAATACCGGTAAGGAAAGTGTGATGTGCGGAATGAATTGCCCTTTCCTTCCTTTCTTCTTTCCTGCTCGCACCGCCACTACACTGTCGACCCAGCCGGTAGCAGAAAATAAAATGAAATAGACAAATGAACAAACATGCAGAGGTGCGTCGAATGATCATTTCCAATAGTCGTTTCATGACAGTGTGGATTGAAACGATCTCTCTCTCTCTCGCATCGCTTCCCGGATGGGGGAAGGAAGGAAAGGAATCCATCACCAAGGCGACGTTGTCTGGCTGGCATGATTATTATTCGGCGTAGCCAGAGTACCGGTACCCCACCTTAGAGGGACCACGCACATTACGGACTTTCCGTAAGAAATGATTATCGAAGGGGCGAATAGTGTACGTATTCGGGGAGTAAAAGGAAGAAAAAAAGGAAAAAAAAAAGGTTGGGATTAGTATTGATGAGAAGACCGTGGGGGCTGGTTAGGTGAAAGGAAAATAATAAAAAGTCAACCGTTTGTTGACTTTCTTAGGGCATGTAGAGTACTCGTACCTGTGTCATGTCGGAAGTTGGATATGGCACTTGTAACTCTTCTAGCAAGCCTTATGGAACTATACTGCGGTGGAATGACGGAGTATCAAATGTTCGTGAGGTGTTTTCCGTGTTACGTGGCGGTTAAGGGTTACTATGGTGTCTGAGTCGATGGTCTCCGCACGTCTACGGCGCTGTATCATAGTGTACTATTATGCTAGTATCATACGGTACTCGATCACAGTACCGTAGTGTAAAGTTTGAGACTCGCCCGTGCTTTAGGTTAGATTACCAGCTCCCTCGCTGTCCTAGCGCTGTACCGCACACTACCTCTGCTGCGGAAACTCGAATAGCCGAACCGAGTACAAGTATAGAGTGAGTAATGGACATGTCGTTGGAGTTGCCTGCTTTGGTTAGGTCTCTCTCCCTCTCTCTCTCTCCCTCTTTCTTTCTTTTTTTCCCCGCGCTTTTCACCCCCGTTCTGAGAGTGCCGGTACGGTAGTCTAGGGGATTCTCGACCAGACAGCAAGGTATAGTACCGGTACACGGTTCGATTACCGGTACTCTAGTGTTTCGCGGTAGGGACCGTAGGGTGGTGCCAGCGATGGTGGTGGTGGTACAGTACCGGTACTCGAGTTCAGTACAGTACCGAGGACATGTGCTTCCTGAACCTCCGAGTGATAGGAAGTGGATTGCTACGGTATCTGTTGACGAGGACTTGAAATCGTGACTGGTTAAGCTAAGGGAAGAAAAGAAAAAAACATCCCTTATGATTTGTGACCGGAGTACGAATCCCGGGTCATGTTCGGGCACGGTACAGTAGCATACGGCGAGTCGAGTAGCACGGAGCGTCCTACTTGTACATCATATTCCGCGTCGAAAAGAAAAGAAAAACCACAACTCGGCCTCGCAATATCATACTCCTTTTCGTCAAAAAGTCCAGTGGCAGATGCAATAATCACCCCGGAGCTCGCCGTCAAAGATCGGGTTGTTTGGAACGGACGACAGACTCGAAAGTTGTTGAGCTCCCCCTTCCCCCCACCCCCCTTCCTTCGACTCGGTACAGTACCAGTACCAGTACTCCCTACCTTGTCTGTTGGGTGTAATATCGCCCTTACCTTGGCCAGAACGTGGTCCTCGAAAAAGCGCCATCTCCCTTTTCGGGGGAAATGGGGAATTTCTCAGCGGCAAGCGTGGTCTTAACGGCGGGGTCCAAAAACGCCGTAACAAAGTCTCACTTTTTTTGTGGCATTCGTGCGGTGCGCACGTATTGTGGCACGGCTCTATTCGCGGATCAAGCGAAGAGGGCTGGTACGGTAGCGAGGGCTTCCTTCCTTTTTTTTTATACCGGTTACGAGTACTAGCACTGTATATACCGTATTTCTTTCGAAAAAGGAAATACTTCCCCAACCAAATATCCTGAAGAAGAGGAAGAAGAAGAAGAAGAAAGGGAACCCTACGGTATTTTACTTTTTTCTTTCTTTTCTCTTTTTGCTTTTAGGGATTGTATTTATGTTTGGTATATGATGGTATCATGCTCGGGTAAATCTGGATTCCTCGAGATGTGGCTACTCGTACAGTCATGTTTTGCTCTTTCGTTACCGGGTCACCATTCTTTTCGAGCCTGCCACACGCTTCACCACCAGCGCTGTAATACGCGCAACCGAGGGTGTAATCCCTTGCAGATAATACACGACCCCTCTCAGGTCCCGGCTATGATACAGCCCTCAGGTGTGTGCAGGTGAAAATCGGGAGACTATTTCTCCGGACATCCCATGATCCCCTCTGTGCAGGCTAGGGTTGCGTTTCCCGAGTGCCGTACTGCACAGTGCTGTACTGGTACGGTGCTCGAGTGCTCGTACACGGCTTTGGGACCTCAGCTGTCCAGACTTACTCACTCTGGACACTGAAGCCGGTGCTGGAATGTTGGTGTTTTCCTTTTTCCTTCTGCTGCTGCTGCTGCTGCTGCTGCCGCTGCTGGCCGGACTGACTGACTGAGGCAGAAGCGTGAAGGAAGGCTCAGACAATATCGCACCGGAAGACCTCGTTGATTCGCCTCGCGTTTTACCTGGTAGAGCGCCCTCACCACCCACCCTATCCCATCTAGCGCAGCCCTGCGGCCTTTGTGACTTGATGGTGATCGGGGCGGACGACTCGAGTCGACTGCCGTACCCTACCCTACCCTACCAATCCTTGCCGAACCGTTAGGGAGCACGCGGTTCAGCACGGCTCATCTCGTTTATTGATGTGTGATGGATGGATCATGCTTATCCTCCCTACCTCGCAGGAAATCAATCGGCGGATATTAAATTATATTCCGCTCTCAATCGAATCAGCCAACCGCCACCGGCGGTCCTAGGCTTAGCGACGACGATAACATTGTGGCTTGTATCCTACCTACCGGCATTGCAATTTATTTATTGAGCCTTCGCCCCCCCCCCACCTTCCTCCTTAGGGTCGGGATGATGCTATTTCGAAGGGGTGCTTGGGGGAATTGCCTAAAGGTGCGACTCGGGGAGGGGGGGAAATTTGGCGGGCCTCCAATCCATTAGCGAGTAGACTACCGGTGCTGCACTGCACTGTACAGTGCGGATCCAGATGAGGATTACTACCGCTATCACGGTATCTTCTATTTCCCTCTGCTGCGGAATAGCGCTCGAACCACCCGGGTTTTCTCCTCCCCCTTCTCCTCGCCTCTTCCTCCTTGGCGCTGACTCGACTGGCTCGCATGCGCGGCCATCGGTTAATCCACCGTAGTCCCGGTAAGTTCGGGACGGTACGATATCATGATACAGCAACGCTTCAGCCACAGCTGGATTTCGCAAAGCATTCTGGGTCCCCACTGCATTCGCTCGCTTCGGTTATGCTGTGCCTCGAACAGTTTCTCCACTTGAAGTCGCCACGAGACGGATTACTGCTTTGAAAATCCTTTACTATTTGAAATCATTCTTGTTCCACCATCGATTTCTATGCCGCCTCGCGGCGCATTTAAGTTTAAAACGAATTACACCATCAGCTCGATAACATGGATTAGCTGTTTTTCCCCCTTCCCCCGGCCATTCTTTGCTTCCTCGCTCCCTTCTTTATTGCAGGGGTTGGGCTGGAGGAGGGTGGGGTGAGGTGCGTCTTATGATATTAGCCAGACCTGTGCGCTCCTCTTCTGGCGACTAAATGGCTTTGTGCGCTTTGATAAGGGAAGGTGTCTCTGAGGCAAATGTTACCCCCGCAGTTTGATCCGGGTGTCGCTCCCTTTCTTTCGTTAATTAGTTAATTAGTTCTACAGCCGCTTGTTATGATTCTCAGTACTGGACAGTACTCGTACGGTTGTCGCAGCTGCGACTGCAATCTTTTTTATTTTTATTTTTATTTTTTTCCTTCCCAGTGTTTACCGGACTGGGAGCTGCGGTAGGGTTCGAGGATTTGAGTGCCCCCCAACATTGACATCCCACACGAAGTCGAGCTCGAGGAAAAAGTCTTCAGGAGTTGGAGGGCGGTCAAAACTCCGAACACTGGCCGGGGTTTTCGGGCCAACGAACTCTGAAAACGAAGACAATAATCTCGAAAACTTGCGAGTCGAGTTCGGCAATCATACTGAGAATAACAGTGCTCGAGTATACTATGGCTTGCTTGTACTGTACCGTGCTGTATTGGCGGGTGCGTTCCCCTAGCCCTCGATCTCGATCAGCTAACCTTGCATCAATGCGGAGATTCCACCTCAGCCATTGTTTTGCCCAAGCGTTATTGAAGATGACACTTGGTGTGATACATCAGCCCCGAACAGCACTCAGTGTTCATTACCCACCCCCTCCCCGCCAGTACCCGAGTTATCAGCCCAACGAGGGGATGGTAGCTGCAGTAATTCTATGCTCGAGTAATACAGTACCACACAAGTATGCGCCTCAACATCCCCTGTCAAGAGAAGGGGGGGCGGAGCGGGAAAGAGGGGGGGGGGGGGGAAAGTAGAAAAAAGAGGGAGGACAATAGGTACATTTTCCATGCATGCCGGCCATACCCCCCCTCCACCTTCGCCTCGCCTCCGGAGCCATGGTTACTTTCCGGGATCGCGCTTCAAGCGAAGTGATTTACGATTTGCACCAGCTATCACTCGGAGTTCCTGTAATACCATGATGTTCATTTGCCGCGACAAGGCCCACGCCGCGCACCGACGCCGCAGGTTCGTTTGGGCTTCACCGAGATCTGGCGGTGCGATTGGAGGATTAAAGCGAAGCAAAGCGAAGAAGAGCGAAAAAGGAAAGAGAGGAAGGAAGGAAGGTGGTAATAATAGTAATAACTGCAACTCCAATCTGCGGGCGGAGAGTATTGTACTTTCCTGTCTTGCATGTAATCTATGTATGATATCTCGATTCGCCCTTTGCCCTGCTTGCATGGCCGGAGGGCGAGGGCGAGGGCGAGGAGGAGGAGTTGTCAACAGACGAGAATTATTTGTCTATCACGTTCCCTCCCTCCGGTGTGAAGTGGACCATATCACGTAACGTAATGCGCAGCTGTATAAGTAAGTATTGATTACAGTGCTCGTCATCACCGCTACTGCAAATTCCGGTCGACTGGGTGTACCCTACCCTACCCTACCAGCCATTATAGATTTCGGTCACGATGCAAAATATTGGAGGGGGCGGAAAGGGATGGATGGATGGATGGGTGAGGAGGAGCTTAGTATAAGTACCGGTGTATTGATTATGATTATTATTATTATGTCAGCTTTGACGTGGTGATCTAGTCTAGTTATGATATGATATGATAGGATTTGTGGTGTTGTGTGGTATGTGGATTGGGTTGGGTTGGTTTGGTCCGGCGTTAGTAAGGAATACGGTAGGAATGGAAGGGGAAAAGGGAGTTGTGGGAAGTGGGTGATTGTGATGGGGAGAAAGAAAGAAAGAAAGAAAGCAAGAAGGGCTTGATTGGAGGTATGATACTGGAATGGTATTGTGATATTTGGCTTGTCTATAGCGCTGTACAGTACAGTAGTATCATAACTCGAACTATGATAACTTACCAGTATGATACGATAAAAGTATAACGCCTTTGCCCTTTTATTTCGTTTCATCTTGTCGATTTTTGTGATTAAATTTTGGACATCATATCTACAGTACAAGTAAATTATATACCCGTCCGGACTACCGTAAATTTACTCATACTTACACGACACAGTACATCCTCAATAAAATGAATAAAATCCGCTCAATCTATATCTAAATTTATATCCTGTATCATACTCTACCACCAATTTTTCAGGATGAAAAGCAAGACGACCAATCGATTCCCCCCCCCCCGCCCCCCCCGGCCAATTTTTGACAAAAATATGGTAAACCGAAATTTCGAATTTATCCCTTCCCTCGATCCGTATTCAACATCATATCGTACATTTATTTTTTGGTGGCTCGGGTAATGAACGGGTTTTAGGCTAACCCTCAAAATATTTCTCAGCGCAGTTGCACTTTTTTTTTTTTTTTTTTTTTTACTCCCGCCTCCTAAAAAGCTTTTGTGATATGGGTATCATACGGGGTATTTTTATTTTTTTTTCGCCCTCGTATCTGTGTCCGAGGTGATGTGGTTGGAAGTGGGCGGATGGGGGGGGGGGGTCTTTGTAAGGGATTAAGTGGTGCGGTAACTGCACTGCACTGCACTGTACTGTACAGGTCCCTGGCACGAGCGGACTGAACACAGCGGGGGTTCCCGGAGTTGAAAGTCCTTGGCAAAGCCACTCCCCTATGTTCACTCCGTACATGCCAGGGACTTGTACTGTGTTATGCCTGCCTCTGGCTGCTTGTAAGGTGGGGAATGGTGTTTTTTTCTTCTTTTCTTTTCCCCTTCATCGTATCATATATCCCGAAGTGGTTTCTGTCTTGCACTGTACGAGTACTGTGCAGTACGAGATCTGGCTAGGCGGAAGAAAAAGAGAGGAAAAAGAAAAAAAGAGTGGTGGTGATGCGTCGAGAGTTCCGAGGCAAGGGGATGGATGGATGGATAGGCTGAAATTTTCACTCCGGACTCGGTTCTTGTTCAAAATTTTGGGATAACAGGATTATTATTATTATTATTATTATTATCATTATGTGACTTATTATGAGACCCGGGTGCCTCAAGTTGTTATTATTATTATTATTATTATTATTTCCTCCGGAATTCACCTAATTTTCCCCAAAATCCATTCATTCGTTCAGGCCATTCGAATTAGTGACGGAAAACCGTGGCGACACCCCAAACTTGTTTTTCTTCCCTTTTCCCTACTCGTACCGTCATACGACATTGCGGAGCATTTCTGGCCATCATATATCAGGCGAGGAAGGTGGTAGGTATAATAGGATATCCGGGGGGCATCGTACGGTACGCGCAAACAAGGGCGCACAGTGGACCATCGAAACGAGGCATTCTCGACCAGAAAAGTGACAAATATATCGACTGTCCCTTTGGAACTGCACGAGACTGTCGGATGGAATCCGTTGCCGGGCATGGCAAGACCTCCCGGATCAGGACGGCCAGTACAGCACGGTGTAGCAGAGTGTCTGGGCTGCGTGTGTGATCCTCCGAGGATACGGTATTTCGCTCGCTAAAACTTCTGTGGTTCGTTCGAGCGCTGAAAGGAGAGACCGGGTTCGGCTAAATGTTGCGAAATCTCGCCTTACAGAGTGAGTGGGTGAGTGCCCAGGGATGGATTTGGCCGATTCGCACGGGTCCAAGGATATGGCCAAGGTTACGGGTACTAGTACCCTTCTCTGTATCATAACTTGCCGAATTCCCGATGGATTGTGTACTGTACAGTATGATACTGTACTTGCACAGTGCATGCTTTCGAGGCGGGTCAAGCACCGGCATTTTTTTATACTTTGTTTTCCGTCCTTTTTATCGTTATTATTATCATCAGGCTACCGCATCTGCACCAACCTGCCATGCATCCATAATACTCACCAGATCGATCGCCGCGACACCCCCAAAACGCCGGTAAACCTGAGGTATCGACGAAACCAGAGAGTGTATCAAGAGCCTGAGATTGCGAATCGGTCAGTTGTGCTCTAATTGGACTACAGTACCCGGGGACGTATTTCTGATTTTTTCAAGGGTTCTTTTTGATGGGTGGTGAACTCCCTTGCCAGAGTGACTTTTTGGGCGTCTCTTTCTTCCTTGCATCGTCCTCGGGTCTCAGGGCTATTGAACTCTGCGTCGGTTTGTTAATTCATCAGGCCTACGGTACGGTGTCGCCGTTTTCTCTCCTTGTTCCTTTCCACTCTTCCCACCCGTACCCTTTCCATCCAGATGATCCCAAGGATCCTGGCTCGTCGTCATCATTTTCCCGGCCTCGTGCCTCTCCCACGATCTCTTTCGGTTTGGTTTGGCACAACCCCGCATTCTTGGCTATGGCGTATTTTCGGCTACATGCTCGAGTACAGCGCATTTCTACCGGTGCCGGAGTGGGACGGTGTGTGCCATTCGGGGAGAATAAGGGAAGCTGTAACCGGTTGCTTCTGGAAAAGTGAAGCGGGAGGAGGTGAAACAGTAGAGGCCTACCTAGCCTCCGCGCATATCCTTACTTGATACTCATTAGGATAGCATAGTTGAACGGTGAGGATGATCACGGTGGGCATGGTATGCATGGCCGAGGTTGAGTGGGGTGAGGTGGAGAGGAAGGGAAGAGGGTCACGGAGCCTTTTCGTGGTCAGCGGAGGTGACTAAAGGTGGTGTGATGTGCATTACGGCCATATAATGTGATGGGTGAGTGTGAGGTGGTGAATATGTACCTTGATGGGAAAAGGGAAGTCGCTCGCACTTGATTTTGCGCCGGGGCGTTCTTGTCGAGATGGAGGATTGTTGCGGATATCGTGGTGGCTTGAGCGCAGCAAAAGCAAGAAGAGGAAGGCGTCGCTGCGCCTTTCTGAGTTTTTCCGGACCCCCAATTGTCGGGTCAACTCCTGGGAGAGTCGGGGTCACGGATCACATCACATCGTGATTCGTGATGATTTCTGGATGAGGGTGTTGGACTTTCTTTTCCTTTCCTCCTCCTCCTCCTCCTCCTCCTCCTCCTCCTCCTCCTCCTTTCCCCTTCCCTTCTTGGGCCGACCCTTGCCGCAGCCTCGGTTTTGCTTTGAAGCGAGCCTTCGGCCTCGCCTCCTGAAGCCTGAGTGAGGGTGAGCACTGAGCGGTGACGTTGGAGCGTGGCTGGAAATGGGCTGAGGGAGCCACATTTCCTCAACCCAACAAGGCTACTGTCTCGCAACAAACCCTTTGTGCGGAATGTGCATCGAGACCTCGCTCGCCTCACTCAAAGTCCGGTCCCGGACGGGTTTTGCACAATGCCATTATTGTTCACCGTGTTATTGCTGCTATGGTGTCTGTAGGACTTTGTGTCTAACTTTTGTACTCGAGTACGGCGTCGGTATGATACTTGCTCCTCTTCCTGCTCGTCCCATCTCCGAGTTCCACAGGGCATCTCCCATTGCGGAGGCGTCCTGGGTGCTCCTGACGTCATGGGGAAAAAAGCCAAGCTTTATCGACCTCTCTTGGTATGCGACGATATGATGCCCTACTCCATACAATATCGGTAACTTGCTCTCAACCCTCTAGCACTTTTCCTGCAACTTCTCCACCACAATCTTCCACTAATAGCTATCACGGTCGATTCCCCTCATACAGTGCCAATCTTCCGTGCCCGGGACCCTCCTGATACATGATGGACGTTTACTACTACTTCAATTACCGTCAGTCGCCTCTTTTGTCGGGAGTGTTTTAGCCCTCGCCACCAGCTGACTCGATCGATAGTTTCTGCCGGATGGATGATGCTCGAGTCACTTCCGCTAATTTTGAATCCCACAATTATAATTACCATGCTATCCCCTGACGTGCGGGAGCCAACCCGTAAGCCGGAAGCTAGCCTTATCGCCCTGTCCTAGCCGCGTCTAATTTTGAAGGCAGCATTGGAATCCTACCTCTCGCGATCCTTGGGGTTTGCACTCATCGCCTTTGCAATCCTTAATTTGTTACTGACGGGAAGTATCCCTCTTGCGGTAAGGCCGCCCCACGCGCGAGGGCCATAAGGAACGGAATGCTAAGGATGTATGCCTATTTCCCAGTCCTCGTTTGCGGCCACCGAAACCGTGAAGGGTGCATCGACGGACTTGGAAGACCCAACAGCGCCATACGCTGTCCCCTCGCTATACGTAACGCTCACTTATCACATTGCCGTCGGCTTCTATTGTTACCAGCAATGGGGGCTCGGACATTCCGCCGCTTATGCCGTTGGCATGCTCACTCATGGCCTCTTCGCGGCCATGGGAGCGTGGGTCATGATGTTTGCTAGTGCCGACGGGCGTATCTATCGAAAGACGGGTGCGGACGGCAAGTCTAGTAGCTTCCCAATGACAAACCTGGATGCGGAGAAGAAGAAGTCATAAAGGAAAGGTGTAAGGGTCAAATCATCGTTCTGGGGTTTCAAATTGAGCGGTTCAGGGGGGTTTGGTCCCGAAAGGTATTACCTCCCTTAAACTACGCCATGTACATCTACCTCCCGCTCCTTTCCCACTTATGATACCGTCTTTTTTATCATGTCATTGCGAGTTGGTTGACCCGTAACCAAGGATGGTGGGCTCTTTTTTTAATTTTTATGTGACTGTTATCACAATACTATCACTCGATTGCGAGCAATACATTTTGTCCCTCCATCCTTCCTCTCATTACTCACGCCCTCTCATGTCACGGCACCTAGCTGCAACCATACTCGGGTGATATCCCATGAACCCCTGTCCCTCGATCGCCTCACAAAATGATTCCACGATACATACAGCATCACACCCCCTCGCGTAGAAAAATGTGAAACATAGCGCAATCCCGCCCATTCCCGATCTCTTTCTCTTTTCATTTTTTTTCTTTCTCCCCGGCAAGGCAGTCGCAATTGCAATTACGCTTATCGATACCGGTACGTGATACTAAGCCTCACCAGCCTACAAGTACAAGTACGCGCGAGCATAGCCAGCCAGCCAGGCGGGGGGCGGGTCGGTGAGTAGCCGCCGACCATTGACACCTACTGTACTCGTCGTCGTGCTCCGTACTTTCCACCATTTCCTTTTTTTACTTTTTTTTTTTACCACAACTGCCGCTCGCTACTCTACTTTCACCTCCTCCACTCATCTCATGATATCGTATGCACCCTATCTTAAACGGAAGCTGACTAACGTTGCGTAAATTAAGTCCTATGTGCGAGTTTATTTATGCTCCCCCTTCTCTTCCTCCCTACCTCCTTCCCCGCCGGATTGGTTACTGTACGAGTACTGTGGTACTTGTGCCGGTTGTGTTATGTCACGGTGCTCTACCCGCTGTGGCTCCTGGTATGGTACTGTATGTACTGCACTGGTACTGGTACTGGTACTGGCACGAGTATGGTGATGCTCCCACCGCGGGCGCCTCACTTTCCTTCCCATCCCTTCCTCGCCTCGCCTCGCATCGCCTCGCCGGTGGCGGTTTCAGAAGCCGCTTCATGAATTTGCACTCGTGGGCTGTTTCATTCTCGTTGTGGTTGTGGCAGTGCCTGCTCTGCTCTGGTTGGTGGCATCATACCGGTAATATCATTCCTTTTTCTTTTCTTTTTTCTTCTTCTTCGGCTCTTTCCCCCCTCCTGTGTCTTTCGGAAGTGGGCTGAGAAAAAGGAAGGAGGGGAGAGAGGATTCTGGCGGAGAGGGAAGGTGGTTTTTTTTTTTCGAAATTGGAATTTGGATTATTTGATGAATGTTTGGTGGTGGGTGGATTGGGGGGTATATACTTGCAGTGGGATGCCTTGTCGGGATTTGATTTGTTTAGTTTAGTTTGTTTAGTTTGTTTAATTTGAGTTGAGTCTGTGAGTTGAGTTACACGAGGGTTGGCTTATGGTGATAACGAACCTACCATCATACTGCACTATCATGGTACAGTACTCGAGTACAATACAGAATGTAGTAGTAAGTAGTATAGTACACCTCGCTCACTGCAGACATAACAGCGGAAGGGGAAAAAGGTTGTCATCATACTGCACAGCACAGTACGGCGCTGCAGTATATAATACCACGCCCCGCGAACCCCGTGTATATAATTCAAGTAAGCACCGAAAAGTCATCCAAAGCTTACCCGCTACAGTACTTGTACATATAGTACATACCCCCGTGAACTCGCACCGAGCACGAGCACAGTACACCACCACCAGCAATTTAAATTAATTCAATTTCTTTTTCCCTCCCGCCGGCGCCAAAAAACCAGTCACAATTTTCTACCTATGATACCTACCATCCGCCTGCTTACTTACTTACTTACTTACTTACAAGCGCGTGCTTGCTCGCATACATACAATACAACCTCACCCACGGAAGGCACCACACATTACACACACACAAGAAAAGTACGATAAGTAAATGAGGTAAAGTACGGTAGCATACCTAACAGCACCACCCACCCCAAATAGCACAGCATAGCATAGAACGGAATCCAGAACCTGAGGATTTGTCACGCTCCGGATCCAGTTGAGTAAGACTATTATCATATCATATCATATCGAGATAATATTATAATGTCATGCTTGTAATCAGGGTTCTTCCCTTCCCTGCGAGGAAAGGATAGGAAAAGAAAGAAAAGGAAGGAGTCAACAGGTGAGTGAGTGAGTGACTGGTGACCCGCTCCTTACAAGTACGGTACGATACGATGCGAGTCTGGCCGCAGGGGGTGTTTTCATCGCATTGCATTGTAAGTATTATGCATGGCATGATCGGGTCTATAAAACTCGAGGACTCGGAAACTTTTTTTTTTTTCCTTCACCTTGTGATTTGAATTTCTGTGAATTGGTAGGGTGCGTAGGTCACGATTGTATTGTATTGTATTGTATTGTATTGGATTGGATTATTTGTTCCCTTACGTTAGTAGTATCGTGCAATATCTCTTCTTCCACTTCGACAAGAATATACTCCTTTTTTTAAAAAATAATAATAATCCCGAGGTATGGTATTATACTATGACGTTCAACTCACTGAAATCTCCATTCCACTCTACGGGACTTTTTCCTTTTCCTCCATATGGCCTCGGATCAGTTCAGATCAGATCAGAAAGGCTTAATCACACGGCATCACTACAGTTTCTATATACGATACTCCATATGACCCGACAGATCTACCAAATCACGTTTATGCCATCGATAATTCCCGATTATCTATTATACCACAAGTATACTCGGATATGAATACCAGTAAGTATTCCTAGGATAGCGCCATATACGCATAACCGGAAGTGAACCTCACGGACCCGCCATAAGTTAGCTAGGTCTGAGGCTGAAGAAGGCAGAAGGCACCCGGCGTGTACAGTACAGTGCATAACATGATACATTTTCCAGACAATCTCTCTCTCTATATATATATATATTTATATGCAACGCCCCCGTCCTAATACATTTCTCCGCGGATCCCTAAACAGAGGGGTAAACCCACAGGGGGACCCCGGGGGATGTTCCTTTTATGCATTGTTTGGCGGGGTAAGAGGAAGCGGAGTTTTTCTCCCTCTCCTTCCTTTTTCGTTACTGATTATTTTCGGGGGGGGTTCCTTTTTTTGTTATTCTGGGTATATCATAGCTCGCCTTGCTGGTTTATATTATTATTATTATTATTTTTCTGCTTTAACTGTGGTGATCGGTTGGGTAGCTGCAGTCCGGGTGTGGCTTGTTTTCTGCTCCTTTGATCAGGGGTATTTGAGTGCCGGTATCGGTGGGAGTTTACTTCCCAAACAAGGCGTGTATATCATTTCTTTTGCCAATGTCAGGCTAGTAACGTTGTGAAGAGACTAATGTGGTATTGTAGTGCGTGGCGAGGCCCACGAGGTGATTGGGCTTCGTCCGTCAATCTCGCGATATCATATATCACTTTCTCTGTGTTCCACAATTATCTACTGTACGTTAGATTTCAGGTAATAGGTTACTGTAGTATGAGAACGGTAGAGTCGGGTAGGACAACCTCTGGTGATGTATGTAGGACATCGATCTTAGAAATTGACTCGCATCTGGTATGAGGATTAGGGGGAAAAAAAGAAAAGAGAAAAGAGTTCAGCATCTGGGATTCCCACATGGTCACCCGCTATAGTACTAGCCAGACGATACGATGCTTGTTTACCGCAGAGCGAACGGGATGCGAAATTTTCATCGTTCTATGGCCGAACACATTGGTGGATCTTTGATTCGAATCTTATCTGGTAACGGAATCTTAGGTTGCTGGTTGTGTAAAGTGTGTGATGTGGATCTGGTGATTTTGCGGGATGGCGCATATATCAAGGTAGTAGGAAATTTGGACAGAAGAGGGGATTACTCGAGTATAGTACGAGAAGGGATTTGGTTTAACTATATCCCAGGTTCACTCCAGCTCTGCGCTGCAAGCTCTCCGTGATAATCCAGGCATCTGGTATCACACTATCTCGTTCAAACGAGACTCAAGAGTAACCATCGAGTCATCGTAGGTTGGAGATCGCTGACTACTCTCTCACTTCCTCGTCATAAGCAGATAAACCCTTGAGCAGCGATATCTGTAACAGGTCTATACTATTAACTAATAGCATACCAAACATCCGGGCAACACTCATGAAAAGTAGGTAGGTAACATGCTGATATATCTCGTCTCTGTACACAGTTGGGGGCATAAGATACATCACTACATCTAAAAGCTGCAGGATGAGAGGAAGTGCGGTTTCTGAAATACTTTCAAAGTTTTTCGTCAATGATATTGGACAGCTGGGCCGGAGTTTTGCTGATGTGATCATTGTGCTGGCTTGTAGGAGATAGTGGTTTTTCTTCCAATCGGGTTAGTGGGGATGTTTCCCCTTAGAGATTCGAGGGGTGGATTGAGGTCTCGGGCAATGACTGTATACTTCTATTCAAGACTTAGGAGGAGGGGGGTTGATGGGAGGCAAATTGATACCCCGAATTTATGGTCTTTTATATTTCTTTCAAATGTCTGCCGCATTGACGCCGTAGCTGTGGACGGGCTTCCTGAAGTGCCTGCTAGCTGGATTTCTGTATGATTCTTGTCAAAATACCCTGCATCCTCTATTGCTTTCACCGAAACGCACTGCTTCCTGGCCAAGCGGTTAGTTTAGTTATGGCCGTGGGTTGGAAGGTTGGTTTTTGTAGGAATTGTACCTGAATGCTATGTAGTATCAGAGACTGAGATCAAGCTCCGTGTAGGTTTAAGCCCACGGCTGACGCGCCAGAATTGAGCAATATGGCTTCCTCCAACAAGGATTCCATCTAACCTGGATATTTACAACATCTATGGAATGTACAAGAAAAACAATTGATGTATCAGTTACCCCTTCTTCTCCTCCTCGCCCCCAGCGTTAGCCTCAACTGGCTTCCCGTCCGAATCCAACTCTCCACCCAGCATCTTCCTATACGTATCCACAGTTCTCGTCAACCCAACCCCAGCATTACTCAAATTCATAATCAAATCCGCACCACCAGCCCCCCTCAACATAGCCAGCAATTCCCCATGGAGGGTGTTAACGTCCGGCAACAGCGCCAACACGCGGATCAAGTCGACATCCATGACTCTACCTTCCCCGTTCCTGCCTCCATAGACATGCCCATCAACCCACCCAGCCAGCATGACAAACTTCTGTAGCCCGCTGACGGCCAATGGATCCAACCCCTTCCTGGGGTTCTTCAGCGGAAACAGAATATCAAGCGCGGCCTTCAGGTGCGTCGGCTCAACACTCGGAAAACTCAGCGCGGCAATAGGACCTGTTAGCACGGGTGAGAGCGGGTGCGTCTCCTTGAGTGTTTCCGTCTCCTTCGCGATTATTTTGCTGCCACCAGGCTCCGAGCTGCGCTTGTGCTGCCAATCGTACCCCTCCAGGGCACGGAACGACGTGGCGAAAATTGCTGGCTTTAGAACCGTGATGCGGGTCAACTCCGGTAGCGTGGACGTCGGGTCGATCTTTCGTAGGCCGAAGAGGAGTTCCCGGCGGATTGCTATCCATTCTACTGCACGGAGGTTGTTGTGCTGGAAAAAGACCATCAGAGGCGTCGAGCGGAGGAGGGAGAGGTAGATTCTGAAGAGTTGGGTTTTTCGCGTGTACGGGGACTTGACGGTTCGTGGTTGGGTCGGCGATAAACCTGGGAGAGTTGGAGGTGGTGGAATCGCATCGGTGGCTATTGAAGTGGAGGGGGAGGTGAGGCTGGTGTATGTGCGGGAAAGCCTGAAGAAGGAGAGTGGCCGGATAGCCATTGCGGTGTGAAGGCGGGTGAAGGCGGGGTGGCGGGATGTCGTGAATTTTCGCTTGGGCAATCAGGGGCTAGGATGGTGGAGGGTGTAAATGTATTAAAGTCATGTGATAGGTTACCCCTAGAGTTGCTATGCAGCACCCGAAGCGGGAAAATGATCTCGGATACCGGTAGTCAAATCTTCGCGTTATGTATGATACAAGAGTGCTTTACAGTACATAATCGGGAGTAATAACACCCCAACGCTCGGAGAGGAGTGAACTGATAAAAAACCCTAACCCAGGCAGTGATTAGGCTTGGGGAATCCTGAAAATTTTATAAGTTCTGAAGGCTATGGTAATCAAATCGTGCTTCGAGTCACCTACTCCCTTCCTCTTCGATGGGCTTAAAGTATCATTTTAACATGCACTTACACTAGAACCACTACCAAACCAATGCAATGGCCAAAGAGCAGGTCACATATCATCGATGCAAGTTGTAGAGGCACTACGTGTATGTAGTTTGGAGAGATGCGGGTTCTTGATTGTGGTTCTTGTTTATGGCCCCGAGGAATGGGATAAGATCAAGTGAAGGATCTAGACCACCCAACAACTGATTCCGCACTAAGTCTGAGCTATCTTTTTTCCCGTCGGAGATGAGACTGTCAATTGAAGCAGACCCTCTTGCTCGCTAGCTTAATTAATGAAAGCTTCGAATGGTTTGAAATCCAGTCCAACTGGCTGCCACCTTCCCAATTCTTTACAGCATACCTGTATTGTCCCGGAAAGACCGGAACGCTCTAGTAATGGTAAAGAGAGTGTAGGGGAGAGTTGCCAGCCTTTAGTGGAAACTGAGCCATTCAGAGATATAAAGTTCTGGGTTACAGGGAGATTACGTGAAATATTATCACCCCTCGAAGTAATTTCTCTTCGAGAGACGCCTTCTGACCCTTGATAGTGTACTCTTGTTCTTCCTAGAATATACGGGGTTCTAAATCACCTATTTTGGAGGTGCGAAATGAGCCCTAAACGCCATCAAGTTCTTCACACAGAGGTGCGTCGGATGGCTCGCCTGGCTGTCCTGTTTTATGCAGTATCTTCAAGAAGGCTATTATGTTTATACTCGCCTGAGATAGCTAGTATAACCTTCCAACGTTTCCGAAATCTGACTTCAAGTCATTCCACGGGCAGGACTTCCACATCCTGTCATTTACCACATCCTGCGTCCCGGCCAACACATAATCCTGACCCTCATATTCCGCGCTTCCAACTCTCCTTATAGCAATCCCCAAGGCCTCAGTCTACCCAGCAATCCTATACCCCCTAGCAATAACGCCTTCTTTCCTCTATGTCTGATTCCCGATCCAACTCTCCAACCCTTCGTTCCTCTCCTTCCCCCACCCCTCAAAACACCCCACCCCCCTCCTCATCGCCAAGGGTGTCTTGGGAACCCGGGAAGGCGCTGAGTGAGCCATTGAAGTTGTGATACTCCAATGCAGCCAGGCAAGCAATGGAGTCTGGTGTGCAGGTTAGGAGGATAAACCAGTAGTAATAGTATATCGTGCGATCAATAGCAGAGTAGCTGTGGAGCCTCCTCTTTTTCGGGTTTACCCCACCATTATGAACACCCATTGTCTGAACCCCCAGCTGGTGTTACCTTCACCGCCACCACTTGACCCCGCTCACGCAGAACAACTCCCATCCAAGCCGCCGAGACACCAGCGCAATCTCCCTCGCCAACTTCCCCTCCCCAATTTTTCCGAAAAACCTCGTGCTTCCACTATGCGTTTCTGAAGCGTCTTTAAACTGCACCTGGGGTGCCAGCAGCTTCGCTGCCTCTGTCTTGAGCACTCCGGGTTCGTTCTCTGCAATGGCTTCGCCGATCCCACATTCTTTTTCTCATGACAAGGCTTACTCGCGAAGATGAGAGCGTTTAGGGGCGTAGAAGGTTGGGAGGTTTTCATTATGCATGGTGTAATTTTCCGAGCTACCAGCTCTAGGACAGATTTGGGGGCCGGGGCGAAGGAGCTAGAGGTTTTGGAAATTTTTCTCGTCTGGTGGGGCGGACATACTCCGTGGAGAATTCGCCTATTTGGGGATATGAAGCGGGAGAGACTGAACAATAGCAGGGTGTTTCGTGGATTTGTTTTGACACTGGGGTCAGGGGAAAGATGGAGATGTATGGTTCAAGACCTCCAAAACGTGTACCAGACATGTCAATTTCAAATCCTTAAGGGTTTGTAGGGGTGAGAGCAAATTAAAAAAAACCCTGTTTCTGAAAGAGGAGATGAAAGAGAATTATAAGCAGGTTTTTTTTTCTCATATGCACTTACCCCTATAAAGCCTTAAGGATTTGAAATTGACAGGTCTGGTACACATTTTAGATGTCTTGAACTATATGTGAAGATGCAAGAGGATAGGGTTAGTAGTATTGTGGTTAGTCTCACTCCGACGAGTAGAGATAGTTTTTCATGTGAAACGAATGTTTCCTCAATAAAAATCGGCATCCTGCTTGTTTACTGAGTGAAAACCCCAAATATTTTTAAGAATATTGCATCAGGGTCAATAGCATCAGAGCTTGTTAAGCTTGCCGCACTCCGGGATTCTTCGCTTGCTCCGAGTGATCAGACATGTCTATGACTCTGGATTTAATTTTTCAGTACTTATAATTGTAGTTCCTGAGATACTTCTTCTGTTCTATTAAAGTAGCTCATATGTGCTTCTGTTGCTACGAGTATAAGAAAGTGGAATTATATCCCTGGAAGATTTAACTCACTCCCATTTGGTGATAGGTCTTCGCGAACTACTAGATTCCGCGGGTTCCATAAAAATTGCTATCCCATCAAAAGAAGCTTATATAGTTGTAGATATCATTAGAAGTTCCGCTGATCCAGGTGCTTTGGTCGGGAAGCTATTGTAGGATAGGGGTTAACCAATCCCAGGTGCAGAGGCGACTCGGTGCAACAGTCAAGTTCCGAGCTCATGATTGATCAATGTTTCCATCGAGCCCCCAAGTGAAAATCAGTGCTTCGCTTAGTTTCTCTCGATCTAATACAAAGGTGCATTTATCTCTTATTTCGTGCAACTTTGCCCTTTGAAGAGGTCTTGTGAGGGCTCTAGTGAGGAGCCCTAAAAGAACCAATACCGCACACTACCAAGACCAAGGGAAAGAGACCAAACTCCGGTGGCACGCAATATCAGTCCTTTCTTAAAAGGCGCTTTCTTTGGGAATACCGCGATATGGTGTGTCCTAACTTTCTTTTTCAATAGCGATTCGATATGGTGCAGACCCGAGATGAGCATTTTATGCGTTAATTTATTCAAGCAGGGAACCCATATGTTAGCCAGATCGAAAAGCCACTCCCGTCCTGTCTCCATGGATCGGCTACCCGCCATTTTGTTTCAGTCCGGGCCCAACGAAACTGGAATTTGTGAGGAAGGCCAATCCCATTGATCCTTGATAATAGCGAAGAGAGTTAGAAAGAAAGCTTGTTTGTGTAAATGTTGATACGATAGAAATTTCCATCAAATCGCTAATTCTATCGTATTGATAATAGCAGAGGGGACAACGAACAACCCTGCAAAATCCGCGTTTGCCACGCAGATTTTTTCGTGTCCAGTCCGCCGCCCCCCCTCTGTTTGCCGCCACCCCTATGACACCGGGGGTGCCTCTCTTATTTGAAAGCTCGATTATTGGTCTGGCTCGTACTCCCCTCATATATTTTTGGACGTGATGCGATTTGATGGGTTAGCGAGCCTTCAAGGAGGGTATTCTAGCTGTGTGCGGTATAGGTGGTGTGATAGGCTCTGTACGAGTACCGGTACTCGAGTAGATGTTGGCGTCGCCAGGGTTCCTTCACCAGAAGTACTAAGAATTGATTACTTCAGAGCCAGAACTACTGTGCCCGTATCTTGAATTGTGGGAACAGCTCACCGAGCCCTGCCTGTCATATAATACCATGCAAGGTTCACTGTAGGTGCCCTAGGGCTACGAAAGAGGGGCTCTTAGAATTCCAATCCATCGAAATACCGCCCTTGTCATCCGCAAGTTTTCATGGGGTCTTCCGCAACGGGCTTTGCCCATGTTGGTCGGGGGCGTGCCACGACTAAGAGGATGAAGGGTTTGCATCCATGGCTGCAGCTATGGGGCGAATGCCCCCTGCCACCGCCTAGCCTGACAAGTGAGGACCCGTGCCCTCCACCTCCTCGTGTTGTAGCGCCCTTTCAGGGTTAAAGGGGTCCGTGTTACTCTACGCCCTTGAGGGAATGCCTGGTTTTCCGCGGGGTGCTGATATGGAGCAAACAATCCAAATCCTCCTCGGTAATATGGATAAGAGGGCTGTACGAGTACTCGAGTACTCGAGTATAGGTTGATAAACTGCGGGGCCCTACCGCAGGGCTGAGGACAATGTTGAGCACCCCGCGTGACGAGATATGTTCTGGGTGGGTTCACTTCGGTGTTGTGCGCAAGCTAGTGCCGAGCAGGAGGGTAAAAAAGAAAGGAAAAAAAAGGAGGGGGGATGGACTACCTTTTGACACGAGCCCAGCTCCCACAGCAAAAAGGGCATCATAAATTTAGACAAAAAAAAAGTGCTGGTATTGGTGTTGTGTTTCCTACTCGAGTATAGCCCTTCGGAGGATACGAGACGGGTTGCCTCGCTGATAAACGATAGGTCCGGGACTTTCTTTGTTTTCCAATAAATTCTCAGGGCTTTTATGAGGTCATGTCTACATTCAATCTTCAACTGGCGAGTCTTAGCAAAACAACGATTGCGGACTTACAACTGTGCGCACCCGTATTTGGTATCCATTCTGCAGAGCTGCCACGGGACCGTAGTTGCATTCCACGGGAGGCCGCCACTGCTAGGGCACCAATAATCTGTTTCGACTGTATGATGCGGGAAGAGCAAGGCTCTCAGGACGACAACCGGTTAGTAACCTAATCATACCTGCTGTCTGTGTGTAGTATTTCGATGTGGTTCGGGCAGGTTGAGTTCCCTCCAAGTGAATTGAAAAGGATAGTCGAGGAGTAACGTTTGTGATAAGCACATAGGGGAGTGACGATAAGGCAACTGAGTAGTCCTGGCCTTGGGTTATTCCGTCCACATTGGGGAGGCTTGATGCATGAACAACCATGTAGATCTGATGCATCAGTGGTCGGCCTGCGGTTTACCAGTGGTATGAATGTGCGGTCGCCGTTTGACGGGCCTGGGTAATAGTGCTTTGCCCTGTTATGATGAGTATCGCGATGCCTTCTGAGAACTGCCCAACCCGTGAATTCGTTTCCATAATAATGGCAAACATTATTCAGTGGTCTGTGTCACTGTTGACCCCCGAACTGTACGGCCCGGACCTGAACGATATCTGTGCAGCTGCAAGTATGATAGCATCATCGGCCAAAGGTTGTTGTTTTTTTTTTTTAAAAAAAAAACCCCCCCCAAATCTCTAGAGTATCTAAAGGGTGAAAAAAAACCCAGATGTTAGTCACTCAGTTCATTAATCATTCATTATCAACAGGACTTCATACTAACGCGAGAGATCCTCAGTGCAAACATGTTTCGTATGTACTCAGAGATCAGGGTTACCGTAGTCCATTAGTATCCTTAATGAGTGACCACTCCCGGAGTACAGCTAGGCCTGACTATTGCAAAAGAGAAGGACGTTCTTCGAATCATTATTCTCTGGAAGGTGTGCTGGTGCCTATGGAAGCTTGGCCAATGCAACTGTGTTCACGGATTGTTCCCTCCACACGAGTAGGGGGGGACAAGCGGCGTGACCCATGGTACTTTCAGTGGCTTGCGCAGAGTGCAGCATTTAGTTCCCCTAGGTCAAGAATTGCTACCTGATAATGCAGAAAGCCGTGCAGAATTTTTTAATGACAATATTGAATCCACATGAGGTTGTGACCCCGGGGTGCTTGTAATAGATTGATTTGGGATCTTTCTGTTTAGTGAACATTGCTACTATGGACGCCTCTAGGATAGTGACGAACGAATGGAGGGATGTAGGTGGGGGGTTTTTTTTTGTGTGTGGGGGGGAGCCTAATAGCTAGAAACGTTAGCTACCGGTACTCCAGAGTCCATACACTACATTTTATAGGTTGGAAAAAAGGAGATATTGTTAGATAGAATGAGATACCGCTAAGGATTGAAACATCATTAACTGTTCGAGAGCAGAGCTCAGGTTTTGGACATTTTGCAAGGGTGTTTTTCTCTGTGCTTGCCAGGAAGGCGATCGATGTTGAGTGAGAAAGAACAGAGAACATGAGGAGGGGAGGGGTAGGCGGTTTTTCTGATAGCAATGTCCTACAGTGGCATACTGTACCGGTGCCGGTACTGAACATAGACGGATATTGTGAATGGATATACTCGTATTATGATATAACGGATTCTTTGTGGCGGCCGTATTACGATATCAGCCACAAAAGATTTGATGCGGCAGGCGCTGCATACGGGTGCAGTAAGGCACTTCCGTTGAGGCTCCCTGAGCCGAGCCACCCCCAGAATTGGGCAGATCAGCTAAGGGGGGCGTGAATCAACCCCACTCATCCGAGTCCATGATGCTCACGCTAAGATATACACGAACGGCCTCAACTCTTCTTGTAGCATTTTGGCACTTGGCCATAGGGCATCCGGAAGTTCGGGCGGAACCCTAAGTCCAGTTTCGTTACATATCTCTCTGCCAACAGGAAACAGAACAGCCCTTTACACTGCTCGCGTCACCTCAACATCGTCTCAACACCAACCTCACTCACAACATTGCCCTGGTACGATTGACAGCACCCGTCCTGTACATAGTCAAGGTTTGTGAGTTTGTATATTTATTCTCTTCGGACCGTCATCCTGCGGCTCTGTTTTTTCCCCAGGACCTGTGGGCGGGGGAGACTAATCTGGTTTCGATTTTTTAATTTTTTAATTTTTGCTGACGATTTTTGACGATAAGGCGTTCACGAATCCCAGCGGCACTCGCACCGGATCGTCTCTCCTGGGAGGTAGCAGGAGTCTAGTTCCGCAAGCCGGACCTTCCTCGACTCTGAAAAAGATTTCTCTGAGGGATTTAAGATACAGCTAAGGGAGTTAACTGCCATCAGTCGGTCCCCCCTCGTTATATTTGCAGGAGCACAACGCTGATGTGTCCAAAGTGGAGGACTTTAATTCAGAAACAGACAGTGACTATGCTAGCTACTGGCGAGACTGGGTTTTTCCCCTCTCTCCTCCCATGCACTTTCCTTATCAACTGCTCCGTTGTGGGAGGGGGGGATTTTTTTTTGGAACAAACACTGACTTGACCGATAGTTCATCTCTACGCGTGGCCATGAATATTTTTGCGAAATTGACGAGGAATACCTGACTGACCGCTTCAACTTGACTGGGCTGCAAGCAGAAGTTCAATACTATCAGTATGCATTAGACTTGGTTACCGACCAATTCGATTTTGAGTGTGAAGACGATATGAGGGAACAAATTGAGAAGTCGGCTAGACACCTTTATGGTTTAGTTCACGCAAGGTATATCATCACTACACGTGGACTCGCCAAGATGGTAGTAGAAAATTCTTTCCAGATTTTGTGCATTTCTGACTGATGGTTATAGCTGGAGAAGTACAAGAAATGCGATTTCGGCCGCTGCCCCCGGGTCCTCTGCCGTTCACACCCACTGCTGCCACTGGGTCTTTCTGACCTACCCCACCAAAAGCCCGTCAAGCTTTATTGTGCAAAATGCGAGGATGTATACTCTCCAAAGTCCTCTCGCCACGCGGCTATTGATGGGGCCTATTTCGGCGCGTCATTTCCACATATTCTTTTCCAAGTTTACCCGGGATTAATCCCTCCCAAAAGTAATGAGCGTTATACACCAAGGTGTTTTGGGTTTAAGACGCATGCCCAGGCTGCTTTGAGCAGGTGGCAGGAAGGGGAACGAGATGCTCAGGACGCGCGACTTGAGAAGGCTGGGGTTGAGGTAAGAAGAGTCGATGGGGAGGACGAGGAGGACGAGGACGAAGAGGTGGTGGAGGCATAGCTCAACCCAGGAGTGCGGATAGTGTTGCAGTGTTATTGATGGGGAGAGACATCGCCCGCTCGTTGGGAAAAGGTGTTATAATAGCTAGTTGTGTTTTTCAATTTTCAACTGCTTTATTTCATGGGTCCTGTATGGTTGGGGGGGGGGGGGGCGTTTCTCTGGGTTCATATCATTTGTCTACTAAACACTTTCGGAGCGGCATATTATGCCCAAGGTATGATTGTATCATTTTACGGCTTGCTAGATTCCTGCACTGGCTATGAAGGGCTTATCAATACCATTTCACAAATTATCAGACACGCGTAGATGGCGTTACAAATTTGTAGCAAATGAACCAGAGACGCCTTGAAGCACAGTGTCTGAGGGCGAAATACAGTAGCGCTAGGCTGGGATTTAGCCCAGAGTCCATCCCACTGATTCTCAAGCTTTTGTTATGCGAAGGAGATTGGGAATACTGTATGGATTGTAGGAGCAGGAAGTAGGTATGAACGTCTAAGGAGATATCCCGGTATGGTGGTATTTTACTAGGGTACTCTAGTATTATCATCATCAGTGGTACAGTTGAGGAGGATTGCGCGATAATCCTGGCGGAGTTGGGTTCTCTTTTTAAGAACACTGCTTGAAGAAGCAATACCGGAATCTGTGATCGATATCTAAGTAAGTTCGCTAAAAAAGTAGGCTTATAGTGCTACGGCATAACTTAGGACTCGAATAGACTATAAATACTAGAAAACGAAGAGTCCGAGACTCTTTGACACAAGATGGCCCCAGCAGTGAGCCCAGAGTATGCATGCCAACTGGTTGGACTTGCCCATTTTGGACTCATTGGGTGATGCCAAGACAGATTCCGGGTTCAGGGTCACATCTGGGTCTCCCAAAACAGATATGAAACCAAAAAAAAGAGACTGTGTGGAGTTTCCCATAGCACGCACAATGGGACTTGGGTCTACGCTCTAACGAAAGGCTACTCCAACTGGGGTAAAAAGAAAAAAAAAATAGAGTTTCAGGCTCTTATTCCTTCTTCGCACCTGTCTGGTACCCGGCCAGCTCTGGCTTCCCCTCCCCCGCTTCGGCACACCTCGCCCAGAAACTCTACGCGTTCAAAACCTGGAGGTATTGACAAAAAGGAAAAACAAAAACAGCGACGGTCATAAATATCAAGAGTAGCCCATTTCGTCAAGGTATATAGCTTTTCACCTTCTATCATACTTGCTGGGCATCGCGGCCCTACCTTTCGCTCCCTCCCCTGCACAATTTCTATGGCCGCGAAAGTACCAGTGCCAAATTCATGGGAAGATGATGAATGGGAGAGCCAACCGGCCAGGTTATCTACGGTATTTCCGCTTTCTCCTTTTTCGAACTGCGTATATGCGCGAGTAGCCCAGCTAATAGATTCCTCGTGGAAGACAAATACCCCGCCAACAGTGGTAACTGGAATCCTCCGCTCCGACGCAGTGGAATTCACCCCGACCCAACAACCTCTCTACACCCCCGCTTCCTCGCAACCAAAAACATTCTTCAAACCGGAGCTGAAAATACTCAAGCGCACGCCTTCGCCAAACTCTTCTCCCGTGGCCGCTGATACGCTGAAAGTATCGACGGAGAAACCTCGATCGCAAGAGCAAGAGACAGAGATAGAGCGTAGAGAACGGGAGCGCAGGGAGCGGGAACGCCGATATCAGGAGGCCCGCGATAAGATCTTTGCTTCACCGGTGCCTGTAGCGAAGCCCAGGCGTAAATTCCCGTCGCCGCCCAGGACTGCGCCCGCCAGGAATGCGCCGGCGCCGGCGGGTAGAGGCAATCGGAAATCAAACAAAACCGGGGGAAAGGGTAGAGATGGGGGAGGTGGGGCTATCACCTCCCTCTCCCTTAACGGTGGAGGGTTCACCATCGCGCCTCCGCCACCAAAGATTTGGGAGATTGACGAGAAGATGTTGGAGTCGCAGTTGGCAGTCATGAGTGAGTCTATGGCTGCCGCGGCTACTGTGGGTAGGGATGGGGAAGGCGCAGATGAAGGCCTTGATTGGGATTCTTTTGAGAGGGGCGGTTGGCGTCCGTGCGATGATCCACCCCTAGTTCCCCCGTACAATAATAATGGTCAGGAACCGACTCCTCCCCCTCCACCTCCACCTCCACCCCCACCGGCAATCCCGGCAGTCCCAGCGCAGGATAAACGTCCAGGTGTACTCCGCGCGCCTAGAGGGCCGGATACGGATGGTGGAAAGGGATTTAAAGGAAGAGGCCGAGCTTGTGATGTTAAAGAGTTTGTCCCGGGGAATACCTGGGGGCAGTGAACAGCTGCGAGTACTGCTTCCATTCCTTTTCTTTTCTCTTTTTCTTTTCCTCTTGATTACTCTAATATGGTCCCTTTCTCTTTCAAGTGCTTTTTTTGTGTCTTTTCCGTCTCTTGGATCTCGCTTCCTTTTTTTCATACTTCTTAAATCTGGTGTACAGGCGGGGAGAAACAGACTCAGGGTTAGGGTAGGCAAATGGGTTGCTGTTCCGTTTTTTTCCCTTAAATCTCCATTTTATGCTATGGCCATGCTCGAAAGCAACCGACGACAACCAAAATCGGTGAATGCATGGATAGCAGCAAAAGCAACAGCTCGAGTTAGCTTAAATTATAAAAAAAATTAAACCATTCACTTCCTCTCGTTTACTGGTATAAAAGTGCGGTTCGCGTTCTCCGATGTTATGCAGATACCGGTAGTCTACCTTATGCGGAACACCGGTAATTGAGAGTTGAAGTAGCCTTCCCATGTCGTGTCGTAATTGTGGCGCACTCCAGCACAATTCTAGTACTAGTCCTGAGTATCCGAGTACTGAGTACAGTACAGTACGCTAGAACGCTTTAGCTACACCAGCCACACATGATACGCGTGGCGCGTGTGCACTGTTACCATTTGTTCTCACGAGTGACATGTTGTGAAATCATACTTTTTGCGAACAAGGCTCTGGAAATATTTTTCATCCTACCCCTCCTCCCACTATTTTTCTTCTACTTTACTGTACCTTGTGAGTCCGGCGAAGACGGGTGCATTACCCACTCCATGGCTGTTTTATCCATGCTATATACCTGCCTGCGGGCCTTGCTTAGAGAAACAAACTTAGTTTCATTCAACCCCTCTATCCCCTGACTATGTATATGTTACGCGAAGCTGAAGTAGTTGAGCCCTAGTAGCCTAGTTGCACTGACAGCAGTGGGTTATCTCGCTGCGGGGCAGGAGGGGGGAAAAGTGGTACCCCGCTTCTCCCACACTCTCTTGTGGGAGGGGAAATAAAAAAAAAAGGGGGGGTGAATGGCGAGGCTGAGGATTAATTACCATGGTTCTACCGTGGATCACACATTGCCGCACTGATCTGCGGTGCGGGTGCAAGCAGGGGAAGGGGGGCGGCTATTTTTCTTGGGGCTAGCTGTAGGATTTGAACTACGAGCATGCTTGCTGGGGTGGGCCAAAGGTACTCGTATGGTTTGATTGAGGTCTCTATTTCTGGCGGTGATGCTCCGGAACAAACAAAAAAAAAGGCGGCCTTGCGACACGAGAGGAGCGAGGCTTTGATTACGGTCTCACTTAGCCTTCTGATGTGTTCGTTTTGTTTCTGTCGGCTGGTATGGGCGTACTACTTCGTTGGCTTTCGTTTGGAGTATGCAGCACCTTGGTGGGGGGGGGAGGGGGTAGGATAGCTATGATACGTTTCTCAGATTTCTTCCCAAACGCTAACTGTTCGAAGGCACTGGGCACGCGGGCACTTTCCCACCCGCGGTCGATCTATTTGTCCTCATTACTCACATCTGGTAACTTGCTGGAGGACGGTCCGAGGCTCCGTCTGCAGCCAGCGTTTTTGGTCTTCCAAGTGCTGGACATTTGTATAGTGGTACGGGTCACATCAACCCTTCTTCGGATAACCCCATCCCTTCGTCCCGGTATCCGGTCCGGTGTTTCCGGCGCAACTATGGGCCTTGAAGAGCCTGAAAATTTCTCCCCGCTCCGCCTTGTGCGAACTAAGGGTCGAAAGTGCCCGTGCACTCCGACAGATCTGGCGATGCTGTGTTCTATCTCGTCATTATCGCCATACCTACTCCTCATCACACTACACTTTTTTTTTGAAGAGCCTTTGTGATGAGGTTCTTTTACAGGGTTTGGCTTTGCGCCTCTCGGGTCTTTGTTTGGGGATGGTCGGGTGGGAAAATAGCGCGGGAACGGCGGGTAACGGGCGAGTGTGTTACCTGAACCTTATTTTGTAGGAGTTGCAGTTGGTGGAACCTCAGTGAGGGCTTATGGGGGGGCGGGGGTTCTAGGGGGTTTTGGGTATAAAATATGTATGATAGGAAAGTGAGAATCAATGTAGAAACTGGGCACAGGGCTGCGGAAAGTGAAGTGGGATATATCTGAGTATTGTAGCACAAGTATACGTACTTGGTGATACTAGGCGTGGGGGCTCACAGAATGGATGTCAAATCCATTGGGGTGTAATCGTGGGGCGGTGCTCTTTTCGGATATTTTAGATGTCGCTATGGGCGCAAAGCTTAGTTGTACCACCCCAGAAGATTCCACAAATTGCGGTGTTAGTTACCAGTGGGGTGAGACTTCTGTCGGCTGTCATCCGGGACTCCAGGGAATGTGTAATTTGAGAACTTCGACCGTATTTGTGCACGAAACCTGAAAAAGGCTGCATGAAGATCCGGGTGCAGGCAAGGGCATCTAGAATGATGGCTAGTAGTCCATACCGATATAGTAAATGATTTTGTTTCCCTATCCCTGGTGCCTCTAATATCTTTCCACCAACCCTCGCACCGTACCAACGAACCAGTGCGAAATACTCGCACTATTTCACCACTTTAGAGCGAAAAATAGTCACAGTCCTGATCATCCGAGAGAACCATCCGTGGTGTGCGTGTACCGACCAAGCACGGGGGTGGAGGTGGGGGCTTCCGATTAGCGACTCAGATCTCTCCTTTGCACCCCGAACACTCCCCGGGCCTACAATATTTGTATATAGAACTGCCCATTACACAGTACTTGTCACCACAACCTGAGAAATATAAAAAAACCACCCCCCGCCGAGCTTTTTTTTTTCTTTTTTCCTTTCTTTCTAGAGACACGTTTCCAAAGTCGACAGATCACAACGCCGCTGATTACAACTCCGTCATACGGTTATCCGGATCCGGGGCCCGGTGCTTAACCCGCTTCGCAGTTCACATTTCGAATGTAACGAATGGCCCTGGTGCACGGAGTGACAGATATGTGGGGAGACAGACAGCACACACACGCTGCTTTCCTTACCGGTGACGGAATTCCTAAAGGACGTGTAAATTTTCTTCTTCTCTGTGCTCGGGTGTATTACCGCCTTGACACTAGATCCGGTTATGATCCTTCAGTCCTAAAACGGATTTAGAATCAGGCTGCGAGGGGGACCCTCTTTTCCGTCCGGGGGGGGGGGGGGGCGCCTAATCTTTGGGAGCGGTTGTTATAGCTGTTATTGGGGGCGATGTTGAAGTGGTTGCTGGGGTCAGGTGGGCTGGGAGTGCGGGGCCCGTCATCGCTATCACTCGGCAGGAATGCTTGGGCGAGTGACTGGGTGTGCACTGGCTCCCTTCTCTGTGGGGTGTGGTGCCGGATAGTTCCGGGTTCTATTTTGCGAGGAGGCGTCCTTCCTGTGCGTCCCCAGAGAGCCACAATTACCATCATGCTATCGATTCGGGCTTGTAGGCTGGGGAAGCTTCCCGGCCGATCCGATAGCACCAGGGCATGCAGTTCAAGCCGCGCCTTGAGCAGAGCTTTCTGAGGTGGCCTTGGGAGAGAGAGAGAAACTCCAAGTAATTTCCAACAAAGTTTATTGATGTAAGTTACCATACAAATAACTAGACGTACAGGTTATTTTGAGAGAGGGTAACCACAAATAAATAAAGCATCCTCCATAACTCGCACGGTACTTTGAATGTGTTGAAGGATATTTTTTAATCAACCGGTTTTAGGTTTGGTTTGGTTTTTTCTGGGCGGGGATAATTTGGCCTCTGACTTACTGGGTTAGCAGCCCTTAGCTCTCTAAGGGAGCTAGTTCCATTCAGGGGAGTTAAAGCCACTGGCAGGCGGGCCAGAGGGAGGCGGAGGTGGAGGAGGAGATGGGGGAGGGGCCTCCCTGGGGGGCGGTGGGGGGCGAGACCAGGGATGCGATTCATTCCCGAGATGCTCTAGCGCAGCCTGGCGAAACCCCGAATGATGTGGGGGTGGGGAATAGGCCTGTTGGTGGAGGGAATGGTAATCATGGGGGATGTGCTGCGCAAGCTGGATGTTAGGTCATATTTCAGTTTTAGAGGCTTAGGGTATTCTTACGTTGGGTCGCTGCCCACCATGATCAGCCGCGTAGCTTTTTGGAGAGATATGATTCTGGAAACCATGTGGGTTATTGTGAGCCTCCCTTCTATCTCCGTTATAACCTTGAGCATCCTTGGAGCTGTTATATTCGCCGGGGTATCCCTGAGGAGAGAGACTGCGGCTGGCCCTTGATTGGGTCTCGGCGCCGGCCTCTCTCTCTCTAGATCCGATATTTTCGAAGAGATCATTGGATGAGAGCTGGTCACGCGAGTTCCCGTTTCCGTTGTTTTGGAACTGGCCCATGCCCCTGGGGCCCTCGTTCGCACTTCTTCCCGCTGGCGGCCACATGCGGTATTGGCCCCTCGGCACTTGATGGTCTTTACGGATGGGATTCTCTCTGATCTCATGAGGTTTGATGAAAGATCCACTTTGCTGTCTCCACGGGGGGAGGGTAAGGATTGAAGGAAGCTCCAATGACCTGACCGGAGTCCCACCTATCTGTGTCCACGGGGCTTGGGCCACGGTTGTACTATGCGCCCATGGCTTAGGCGCCGATTCCCTCCCGACGGTGCTATTACCAACTTGCTGGAGGGTTGACCCTTTGGGAGGGGTTTTAGTATGCTCGAGACTGGATTTTGTGCCTCCTAGGACGTCTTGAAGAAAGTCCTGTTGGAATGCTTAGTACCTGTGCCACCAAAGGTTTATCAAAAATGGGGTGGTGGGGGAAAACATCGTATTCTTGGTCCCGAGGATTTGAATTGGAAGATCTCTCCTTCCAATCCTGACCTCTAGGGCGGTCTAAGCAATCTCGGGCGAAATGTCCCCCGTTACCGCAGACCCTGCAAATTATCCCTGCTGTATAGTTGACCTGTTTGGGGCAGTCATATCTTCGGTGACCGACCTCGCCGCCTAGGGTATTTTCTCAGCTGGAGTTTGCGGATTGAAGTGGGGATTACAACTGGTTGCAACTCACAGTTTGAACAGGTCTTCGACTCGTCGTCGCGTAACGTCCCGTTCAAGGTAGCCAATTCTCTGAGCTGATTACGCTTGAGTGTGTTCAAGGTTTCGGGTGTTGACGCTGCCTGGGGACATTGTTAAAAACACCAGAAATGGGCTGTGGAAAAGAGGGGCTGCTCACAGTCTCGATTATCTCATTAATCATCTCCCTGGCTTTGAGGGAAGAGGCCTGGTTAGAAGATATGATGAGACAATGCAGGTTTTCTTCCTGGTCAGGTGCTAGAGCGAGATCACCCCTTCCTTTCCCTTCCTTGATAGAACCTTTACCGCGAATAGCAACTTTCGCCCCGGAATCTTTCTCGATACGCTTGAGAGTATTCCCGCGAGGGCCGATGATCAGGCCAACTAGCAGAAGTCACGAGCACGAACGTGCCCATAATGTTAGTATGTGCTACTTTCCGTACATATTATGTACGGAGTTAATCTGATTAGTAGGGGTTAGATAATAGTTACTAAAGTTAATCTCCGGATAATCATCGACGGGCACATAGACTTTTTCGTGCTTGGTGAGTGGCCTTCTATACTGACTAGGAGGCTTGTATAGCGGGTTCAGTTGAAAAGCTTTCGCCACTAAGTCATGGCGCTCAGCTTCTAGGCGTTCCCGATACCTGGTCTCTCTAACATTTATGCGGCGACCAGTTATGTCATAGATGGGGTCTGGAGAGAGAGATCTGGGCACTCGAGTTAGTATAGCGGGTTAACGAACGCTAATGTCAAGTTAGTTGGTCAAACCGTTTGTCATTTGGCATTACCGTGTTGGTGGAAAGCTTCTGGGTGATCTCCTCGATGCGTACTTTTAGTGCGTACAAATCGGTATCCTCAAGACTCATACACCCGGGAATTGAGGTTGGAAGGTTGTCAACATTAAGAGCACTCCTGATTGGCTGGCTTCCCCAACGAGACTTGGGATTCCTCTTTTCTGAAAGTTATATGATAATTAGGTGGCGGGCTAAACAGAATATTAGAACAATGTTAGTTACCAGTGTTGTGCCGCTGTTTCTGGCGTCCCCTTGGCACCACATCGTTATCTGTCTGCCTCATATTGGTAAAAGATGCATCATCAGGAGCTTCGCTGATTCTTCTGGGGGCCGCTTTCACGTCATCATCCTTAATCTCGACTGAGCTCGGGGATTTGCCTTCACCAGGGTTCACGACGCCAGGAAAGTGACGCCTTTTACCCATTGGGATTGAATTCGTCCCCGTGGTACGGGCATTGTTGGTCCACATTGTGAGAACAGGATATTCTCTCGTGGGCTTGGGATGAGTGTGTTGTCGGTATGGTTGAGCGGTGAGTAAAGGAGCGTGGAGGAAAGAGAATAAAGGGAAGGGAAGGGAAGGGGAGGCCAGAAGCATTGATTTAAAAGTGTAAAGTGTGACGGATGTCTACAGTCCTAGGCCCTGGGAAGAGGCATTAGACCTTGGATAATGGGACCTGCGCTACCACACCGGACGGTCCATCGTGTTCCTGGTGTTTGCGTCCCTATATTAGGGCAGTACCATGCATAGGGTTTTGGTGATCATGGGTTCTCACTCGTGATGCTCAAATTTACCGAAACAAAAATATTATTAGAAACCGAACTGACCAGCAGTGATCAGTTGCGGGTCTATGGATTCACCATATAGGAAACACTAGGGATCTTACATTATATTGTAGGGAGAGCTTGTGTTGTTTCTGTGCTGTGCCCTTGGGTGGGGCTGGACCGATGGGAGCGGCCTCCTGTTGTTCTAGGGACATGAAAAAAGGAACTCCGCGGGACAGAGAGAGAGGAAGTGGGAATAACATAGGGGTTCTCGCGGGCCCTGTATTAGAACTTCCTGGGAGCCATGATTGTCCATATGGGGTGCGGAAAGTGTTGCTGATGGCACATCTTTTCATCGTTTTTTTCAATTAATCATGCGAGTTGGCCTGTGCCCCAAATACCATGCATCCGTTTCACATGTAGACTATCATAGTCTTAGCCCAATACTGTCTGATATCGCTCCTGTCATGCTAGTATCATATCACTTGGCAAAGTCACGTAACAATTATTCCTTGGACCGGCACAGGTTTTTGCACGAACCATACAAGACGTGAATACGGTAGAAACTTGCCGAACGGTCCTTCGTTTTCTTTGATGCTCCTATGACTACCGGCATGGAGGTCGCGGTCTAGAATCGGTGCAACGGTGCATCGCGGATCGTTCTTGGCATTGACATAAGATGCGGCTCTGCGATGCAGGTATTTTTTTTCTGGGCCAGTGCAGGTATGGTACAGCACGATTGTACCGGTAAAAAACTGTGCTTATGTAATGAAATGAGGCTCGAATCCTTGTTATAGGTGCATTCAGGTACATTTCATATTGGCAGGGTATAGTACAATGCTAGCGGTGTAAGCTTACGGGAGGAGAGCTTTGATAAATTATCATAATATTCATAGCCTGAAGATTTTGAAGATTTAAGGTATGATAGGGGGGGTTTTTTTAAGGCTAGGTGTTGGGTCTGTGGCTCGATCACGTGCATGACTGCTGGGTTTTTAAGCCTCAGAGCTAGAAAGTTTGTCCGACCTCGGACAATTGAGATTTCATCACACTAATCTTCATCACCCCACCATTCCACGAAATTCCTCTCAAGATGTCTTCTGCAATTTTCCGCTCGTCTCCTCCTTTGATCCAAATCGTTTCCCGACAGCCATTGACGGCTATTTCCTGCCGATCCATTTCCATCCTATCCCGCCCTCTGACCTCCGGTTCCACTCCTAATGAGCGAACTACACAAGTTTTGCAGCAGAGGAAAAACATGTCCTCTTCAACGGCCACGCTAGCTCCACCTCACAATCAATCGATATTTGGTGCACCTCCCGGTCATGGCCCTCACGGCGGATTTTTTAGGAAGGAGAGCCTTCCCGCAAACACTATTATCCGGTGGGCATCCTCATCTTCGGTTTTCACACTCAAAACTTGCTGACAGGGCAGCAAGGTTTGTCCCACAGCAGACAGCATGGATCGTGGAACGGATGGGGAAGTTCCATCGGATTCTCGAACCCGGGCTGGCTATATTGTGGCCAATTATTGATAAAATCAAGTACGTCAAAAGCTTGAAGGAAGCTGCTATCGAGATCCCAAGCCAAAGCGCTATTACCGCCGATAACGTCACACTCGAGATGGATGTGAGTATGAATTTTGGTGAGCGTCTTTCTGGGCTAATAAGAGAAAAATGTAGGGTGTGTTATATATTCGGGTATTCGACGCCTACAAAGCTAGGTGAGTTTTAATTTCACTATCCTGATTTCCATGGCTAATGGTTTTCCTCTCTTTCTTCTTTCTTTCTTTCTTTCTTTTTAAAAAAAGCTACGGTGTTGAAGATGCCGAATTTGCTATTTCACAACTCGCACAGACAACCATGCGTTCAGAAATCGGTCAACTTACTCTTGATCATGTCCTAAAGGAGCGTGCCGCCTTAAACGTTAATATTACCCATGCGATCAATGAAGCATCTGCCGAGTGGGGCCTTGTATGCCTTCGTTATGAGATCAGGGATATTCACGCCCCAGAGCCTGTCCTCCAGGTATTTGCCCCTTGGGGGGATCGTCTACTTCTAAACTAACAGGCACCAGGCAATGCACCGCATGGTATCAGCAGAGCGAAGCAAACGTGCCGAAATCCTCGAATCGGAGGGCCAGCGTCAGTCTGCTATCAACGTAGCCGAGGGAAAGAAGCAGTCCGTCATCTTGGCCTCTGAAGCCAAAAAGGCCGAGCAAATAAATTTTGCAGCTGGTGAAGCCCAAGCGATCCTCGTGAAAGCCGATGCCACAGCGCGCGGTATCCAAGCCGTTGCTGAAGCCATCAAGAATAACAAAGAAGCTGCACAGGGGGCTGTCAGTCTGAGCGTTGCTGAGAAATATGTGGAAGCATTTGGTAAGCTTGCAAAGGAGAGTAACACAGTTGTTGTGCCGGCTCAGCTTGGAGATCTCGGTGGTATGATTGCTGGTGCTATGGGAATTTATGGTAAGGTCGCCGAGACTCAAGCGAGTCAACAAAAAATGCTTGGGGAGCGGCTAGAGGGGATAAAGGCCGATCGTGGGAATAAGGTCAAGGATAACGGGTCTCAGGGAACTCATGTTGGAAAGGAGGTCCTGGACGCGTTCGATATAACTAGGAATTGATCCTTTGGTGGAATACGGTAGCAAAGGGTGGGCGGTTTAGGGTGCGTAGACACTGAGCTGGTTGTACTAATTTTCCTCCTTTCTTTATTTGTTCGGGCTAGGATAACATCTCTATTCTTCCTTTCTGGTACGAAATTAAGCCTCTTTGGTGCATTGAACAGGCGGATGATGATGGTGATAACGGGACATGATCCCGGTTCGGCCCTCTGCCTAAAGGCTACTTGTGATAGTTACAAGAAATATCAAATTTTAACTACCTGACAGTCCCCCCCCGATATTGCAAAAATACTGGGTTAAACAAAAAATAAAGCACAGCCATACATGTACGATGCCATCTCCATAACACCTTCGCCTGCCCGTTGGCCTTTTCGATCCCGCCGGCGGTGCGCGTACCTGAAAGAGTTCAGTGTGCGCAATACCGACAACGACGTTTTCTACTCTCAAAGTCCACAGATAGAAAATGCCCAGCTCACTGACTGGGAGGATGAACATCATACTCTACCTCTGGTAGTTACCAAGGTCTATGAAGATGGCCCCTTAGTTCTCGTCTTGTTGGATTTTTTTCTTTCGGGTCTCTTTCGAATTTCAATGGGATGCTATCTGTTCATCGTGACGCTGATTTCGTGAATATAACATTTACTGTGGGGGTGGGGGGGAGGAATCCTGGTGCCGGGGATCTCGCTGGATGAGTATTTCGTGGAAGTTTTTGTCGGCACGGCACCCGCGCTGGAGAGAGACAGAGTGTGTGAGCATGAGCGTAGTGTGGTGGGGGCTGGGCTGAGTCGGGTTGTCCAGGCTCGATCACATACTTTCTGATATGCCGCGCCCGTAATCTCCATTTTAGCCGGTACTTTTCAAGAAACCGAAATTTCCTTTAGGTAATCATAGTATTAGTATCGAAAAAGGAAGAAATTTAGTAATATGCTCCATTTGCCGTGTTTGGTCCGTAGGTGATCGTCCGTTTGTATTGTACTCGTACACATGTTGCCGGATTGAAATCCCGTTTCCATTCCGGGTATAAGGACCCGTGGTATGACAATTGCTGACCTCCGGCTCGCTGCGTTTTGTAGGCGGCAAGCGAACAGGACCAACCACCATTCCAGGACGTGGCAATTATTGACCTCTGGCTTTTAAGTTGTCCGCAGTAGTGAATAGGATCAAGCACGGCTATGGGGCGAGAAAATTGCTGACCTCTAACGCTCTAAGTGTTGTAGGGGGTACGTGAATATAACCAACCACTGTTCTGGGAAGAGACGATTGCTGATATCTGGCTCGTTGTGTGTGATAGAGTACTCGAGTAAGTGAGCGGGATTAACCACGCTTCTGGGGTGAGTCTTCTGGGGTGAGTGATTACTGACCTCTGACTCGCTGTGTATTAGTACGCTGGGGAATGGGTGGACAGGACCAGCGACCTTTCTGCGGCGTGGCGGTTTCTGACCATTGGCTCGCCGACCACTGTTCTAGGGCGAGACAGTCTTGCTTTGTGTTTTATAAGGTAAGTAAGCAGGATCAACCATGGCTCTAGCATGGGCTAATTAGTAGCCTCTAGAGTACCGGTACTCTACAATTGTATGTTGTAGGCGGTAAACGTGCTGTATCAGCCATGGTTCCACGAAGAGGCAATTGCTGACATCTAGCTCGCTGTGCCACGGAGAGTAAATGAGCGGAACCAACCATGTTTCTGGGACCACACAGTTACTACCCTCTGCCTCGCCAGGTCTTGGAGGTGTTAGGTGGGCTCACGTGTCTTCTCTCCTCTGTTGTTTCTATTGTGCTGATACGTCTCTCTTGTTATTGTAGATTGTATTGCGTCCATATCAATTCTGGTGATAATGTTGATTCTCTACTGGCGTCATGTTCACATCCTACCTCGTCAGAAGACTAACCACATAACATATACTCCTCATAATTTGTACTCGAGTACGCAGACCTCTATCGCCCCCTCGATGCTGTTCATTGGTACTTACTCGCTATTATCTCACAGCCTGTTAGTAAATTTCCCACCAACCCGCCCTACTTCTCCCGCTAATACACCGTAACTCCCCGAACAATTCGGGCAATTTAGAAGGCGAGTGGTATACTACTACCCGCTACCAACACTGGATATCTTTTAATTATTCTTGTAGCTTGTGAGTTGTCCCTTATTATCGTTCTTCTCATTTCGGGTTCTGGTTAACCTCCTGGTGGTTTGGCAGCCCGGGCCCGCCATTTCTTCACGCCTGAACTAGCCAGGACACGAAACTCTTGCCCAGAAGAGATACTCTGACCACCAGTGAGTATTCTATATTGTGATTTTAGCCAGTACTCGACCCCCAGTAACTATCGAATAGTTTAAACACCTGTAGTAACTTATTAGGCGGAGGCCCACCATTACTTCAATGCGTTTACCGGCTCCACCTCGGTTTCTGGAATTTGCCACGCAGTTCCCCGTTTTTGGTGGCTATTCCGGTGGTGCTGGCAACTGCATCAGGCTGTGGGAATTTTGTAGGTTGGTTGTAGACGGTTTGTAGCGTTTTTGCTATAGCTGTGCAGCTTTAGGGTTGCTCAGTTTGCGAGAATGTGGCCATCAATGCCCTTTAAAAAAATGAAGGATGCCTGAGCCATGGTGGAGGGAAGGGGTGCACTTTGGTCGGACCCTACTGCCAATGTGATGGAAGAGGAAGCCATACTTATATCCATGGAAGACCACCCATGCAGATAGCTGAGTCTTGACGCTCCGAGCTAAGCACACTTCTGTCATATCGGAGTAACGGTTCGGACTGAGTCTGCAGCCCAGCTGCACGCACAGGGCAGCCGGGCCAGCTTCCGGAAAAGACCAACCAAGCTGGGTCAGGCACAAAGCCTGGCTAGACCGTCCCTTGTGAACACTGTTCCCATCATACCTCCAGAAAACCCTCAGTGCTGTCAAATTGAGCTCTTCCTGGTATACCCCCGTGGGCCCTGTTGGCCCCCAACACTGACTGCTGGCAATGCAATCCAACCTCCAGGTATGATATTAATTTTCCGAGTAAGCTTTTGGAGGCTTCGGAGCTGAGGCTGGGCTCTGAGCTTTCGGAGCCTGGTGGATCGCACTGCTTTTCGGGGTGAGCGGCGTCACAGGGAGGCAACTAGTGGGGGTGCTTAAAGGGAGATGAGATACAGAGTGAAGAACTCACAAAGATACTCCTAGAAAAGATAGACAAGGGTCCGGTGATGAAATTTCTTGTTTTCTCCATAATTCCACAGGTCTGTCCTCGGCATTTTTACCCGCCCGTAGGCTGGTGACCATGCCGGAGCTTCTGCTGAGATTGTTTGACATACAAGTATCATACTGTACTTCTAAATCCCCCAGGGCAACTACCAAATGACCGAAAGCCCGATTCCTGATCTTTGACCCGGTGAGATTCAGCCCACAAAAAGCCACTCCTAAAGGCCCCGAACATGTCTGAAAATCATGCAGGTGTTAAAAAAGAAGAACTGGAGAGGCCAGTGGGACGTTTTTTCGATTCAAGAGCCCAGTAATTGTATCATACCCTTCGGTTTGCAAAGTTCAGGCACACGACCCAGAAACCATATAATACACCAGACTCAAGGACGGCTAGAGGGGATGAACCCCTTTAAAGAACAAAAATACCGCTCGAGAACGATCCTGTGACAGTTGAGCGGTCTTTCAAGAAATCTGCAGGCCTGTAGTGCGCCAGGTAGTCTGTAAACATTTTCTCAATCCATAACAGATGTCCAAAGATACCAGCAGATATCCGCAAATATCTTGAAACTCTTTCCAATATCCAAGTGCCCGCGGATATCTCCAGATATTCGAGAATACCCGCTGGTGCACTGCAATATCTGAAGCTATCTTTGGCCGGTGCAGGCCTGGGGCACTCCAAGAGAAATGGAAAATGTTACCGCAAGTGCGGAGTATTGAGACTAGAACCCATGCTTGGAAATTTCATGTTACTCAATATATTCCTTAAATGTACGGTGGATAAATTACTTGCACTTTAACCATTATCATTCGATTATCAAGTTGTTTCCTTCTACCGCGTCGGTACCATTCCCATCTTCGGATTTCCCGTACGCCCCCCCCTCGGTGGTGACTTCCGGATTTATGTTTGGGAGTAGCGGTTGCGAAATGGGTCTGCCTGTGATAGCGACTTTGTATATTAGTGTTTGTTTACTGGGGGATCAACTAGTTTGGAATCGGTTCGGCGTAAGCTAGGAGAAATATATAGGAAAGAGTAATCCATGCCAATGCTTATCCATCCCCTGAAAACCCCCGGGATCGGGGAAATAATGTCCGACACCTCGTAAACCTGCAGATATGATATCTGCAGTCTGGTTAGGCCCGGACAGATAAGATCCGGAGGCCGGACCGGCCGCTTTTGAACACTAGTCTCAAAACTAAAGTCCGGCGTTGAGTTGCTTTTCGACGTCCCCCGAGATTTGTAACTACTCCCATATCTCTTGAGACTTTGCAGTAGACATACGGTGATTTTGTCTCTCTCGCCATGCACAGGACATAGAAAATAACATTTAGAGGTGAATTTGGGACTGGGGGAAGACCAAAGTGAACTGATATCACCTCTAAGGGTTTGAATTACCTTACTACACCAGCATTCATCTCTTTCGAGGGTTTGGCTTTCCCCGGGGATCTGAACATGGAGAACGAGCAACCCCTCTACAAATACGCGTAGGGGAGGCCAAGGGTACAGTAGAAGAGTGCCTGACTTAAAGGTGCCTGTTACAGAGGGGTGGGAGATCTACTTTGGCACTGTGCTTGTCTCATGGCATACCGTATGGGCTTTTATGGTTTGGGATCGCTATGGTTCATAATAGGAGTAAGTCCCCCTCGTCAGAAATTGAGTGTACTTTGAAGTTGGATATACCCGTGCCTAGTGATAGTATCTCCCACCCCCCCCCCCCCCCCCTCGTGAGACTCCTGCACTGATCCAGTTCTTGGAACGCCATTCTACAGTATGGGCTTTGGTGCCGCCTCCAACAGAGTACCCCATTAATTCGCGAAAATGGCCTGCTGCTAAACATACCAAGTTCCCACCACCACGAAGGGCACCAAGCGGCAGGCCAATTTTATCTAGTTGGCTATTATTCAACTAGACTACAGGACCCAGGGCGAACGGTGCCTTTAGGGAACGTAGTAGTGCTTCATTTTGCGCGTATTGCTCTACACTCACCTGTTGCTCATAATTTCCCTCTTTACATCCCCCACCCCGCTTCCTCCAGGCAGCTCGAGCTCTGTCATACGATATGGTCCCCTGCGCTTAAAATGTACTAGTACACCTAGCTGCATCCAACAAATAAGGCTCAGCCCTCTAAGAAAAAACAACCCCCCTATATACTAAAAACTATAACATTCAGCTAACCCTAGACTCAGACATCGTTCTCATCCGCCCCTCCACCAACCACATAACAACCCTTGTAGGCTCAAGTGTTAAAAGACAACAGAAGTATAGTATTTTGACGGTAAGGGCATCGAGATTCCAAGCTTAAGACTATTGTGTATTGAAACGAATGCTATCTCATACTAACCGCTAGAGCTCGCTCTGAATTCAATATGAAACCCCGAGAATTGAGTTGTCTTTGGTTATTAGGGGTTTTTTTTTTCTCAGAAGGTTAAGCGTTACATGTTGCATGCCAAAGCATGGAGCCAGGCGTACGTTTTAAGTGCAAGGCGCCATACCCTTCTTGGAGGGGTTGGATCCTAGCCTTCACAGAGTACGGTAGTGCCAAACGCGCATTAAAGAAACGGTGAAACTCGCGTAAGGTTGTTAACAGCACGCTCACCCACCATGCTCTACCACTCCCTCAACCAACAGGAATCACGAGTGACTATCTATGATGCAAAGTCCTAAATCACCCCCGAATAAGGAGCGTAAGGTTAGCATTGACGACCGCGCAGAAGAAGTGCTAGACGAGATGAACCTTACTTCTGGTGGTCACAGGACTTAGCGACCGCGGCTCGGGCTCGACTGGGGGCAGCTGAGGGGACAGAATTATTGAAATCTTAAAATTGCGAAGCTTGTGCCCAAAAATAGCTTGTTGTTTCCCTTCGTCCTTTGAGTAGTTGTGCAACAGCGGCATCTCCAGATATCGAGCCGGTACATATTACCGGATATCATACAAG